TTTTATGCTTCCTTGCCACAAATAAATTCGTATATAATAAAATGCATATTTAAGCATGACAGAAATCTTGGGTGATTTGGAAGGTTGACCGGTTACTCTGAGGGGTTGCTTTTTTTAAGATTTTATTTTTATTTTATGAGTATTCTGTCTGCATATAAGTACACCACATGCATTCAGTGCCTACTGAGGAGAGCAGATGGCATTGGATTCCTTGTAACTGGAGTTACTGAGGGTTGTCAGCCACCATGTGGGTGCTGGGGACAGAACTCATGTCCTCTGGGAAAACAGAAAGTGCTCTTACTCGCTGAGCCATCTCTGCAGGCCCTGGTTTGTCTTTTTGTTTTGTTTGCTCGTGGGAGGGGTTTCGGGGGGTGTTTTGTTTTTGTTTTGAGACAGCTGTAGCCCCAGCTGGCCTGGAAGTCACTGTGTAGCCCAGGCTGGCCTTGATTTCACAGAGATATACCTGCCTCTGCCTGCCAGCTGCTGGGGTGAAAGGGGTGAACCACCATGCTTAGGTTTGGTTTTTGTTTAGTGTGGCTTTTGATTTGGCCAATGTTCAGATTGTCAAAGGTAATAAGCAAACCCATAAACCCTGCAATTGGGGTGTAGGATTATGATCAAGAGCATTTTGCTTATCATTTCTCAGATAGAATAACTTGGAAATAAAAATAAAGCCAGTTCTTTTCCAAACTCACTGAGATGCCCATCTCTTATTAGTGATAAAGTAAAATTTCAACCTAAACAAACCAAGAGAGAGAACGAGGCCCTTCTCTTATACAGCTGAATCCATTAAACCACAGGAAACTAAAATTATTCCCTCAAACAAGGTGTGCAGCCTGGCCAGAAGAATTTCAGAGCTAGTGTGGTTGGCACTCTGTCTTCAGCCTCGGCCCCCTCCCCCAGCCCATCTTCAAAGGCTAAGCAATGTGAATGGGGTCACATCAACTGGCCAACATCCTAGCATTTATCTCAAAAAGATGTTCAGAATTTTATTTTACATAGTTTTGGTGACAAGTGAGTGAATGCCAACTGCATCTAGCCCTGTGCATTACACGTGGAAGCTCAGATAATGCTTGCAAACACACTCCAAAGAACGTGTTATCACCAGAGTTTATAGGGTCACAGGTGGCCAAACACACCTGGATGTACAACCTGTGCTCTTACCGGGATCTGTAGTAATTATACTTGTGTTAAATCCAGGAGAGATGGCCTAGGGGTGCATAGGGTTTGGGTTTTCCAGAGCTTTTCAGAGCAGAACTGTGTGACCAGGACTCCTGGTGATGGATCCAAGGCATCTCTGCAGCTGACCGTCCTAGTGCAAGGGTTTCAAAAAGTATGTGGCTCTGCGACTCCTCATCCATCTCCTTTTAATCAAATAACTACATTAGCCATCAATCTACATTTTTCATGGAATAACTACATTGTTGTTTGAGGGGTTTTGTTTGTATGTTGATGGTTGCAAATGACAGGACTCAAGGTAAGAGGTATTTCCTTGAAATGTTCATGAAACTCAGAAGGGCCACTATGCTACAGGGACAGGTGAGTGTAAGACTTGACAGCCACCAGGCCTTCGGCTTCCTCTGTCTGCTCCCTTCCCCTCCCTTTCCTCATACCAGTTGATCTCACACAGCCCCCTAGACCACAGCTTTAGCCACCAGAGAAATACACCATTCTCTCGGTTTACTGTAAATATCACAGGGAGGCACTCCTTCAGGTGAGGAGCAAGTTAGGCCAGGGTCCACTCTGGGCATGTTTCATCACAGATAGGAAAACAGGGTACCCCACTGAATCCAAAATCAATCCCAAAAGGAACAAATGTAATATTGATGGAGTCTTGGTGGCCCATTCTGTCTTTTCATCCTTGAGTCCTCACTCTATCCCTGGGCTTCATCCTCTGCCACAGTCCCAGATTTCCTCTAGAATGCAGCAGTCACTCCTGCCCCCACCCAAGGCATCACTGGGAGGAGCACAGGCACCCACGTAAGAAACGTAAACTTCTGATGAGAAAACAAGATAGACTGACAGGGTCATAAAATGGGTTAGAGAAAAAACTTGATCTCTTACACTCATAAAGTAGCTAATGGCATTCTTCATTGTAAAGGTTTATTCACACAGAAAAATATCACTGGTGCTCTGCACACCAGGGCCTGAAAAGTGATGTGCCAATAAATGGCCAAGCCATCCTCCCTGCAGTTCCTAGATTCAGTCAGCAGAGGGAGATAAAGTGCCAGCCCTGTACCGTGGCTGATAGAGCCGGGCCTTCAGTTGCAAGCTCTAGATTGTAGTACCCTACTTCCAAGTCCCGGAATGTTCTTCTCTAGGGTAGGAGGGGAGTAAAGAGTCCCATCTTTGCAGTCATCTTGGGACAGAGCAAGGCTGGCCAGCAGACAGACTTGAGAAGAGAGTGTGGGAATGTGCAAAGCCATAGACCATTCATTCCCCAAGAAGCCAGGATTCTCCAGGCACACTGAACTGGTCCCGCAAGCTGGGCAGGCCAGGTTAGCACTGGGTTTGCTGCCTCTTGCCCCACTCCACATCACAGGCATATTAGAGGAGTTACCCAGACAGGCTGGTTGAAAACAAAGCGAATCACCCCCAAGTGACCCCTTTACTGCAAAATGAGGAATCGGAGAATTTCTGGTATCTTCCCTGGTGCACACATTCTCCATTTCTGGGTTTCAATGAGGCAAACATTGTCAGCTTTTCCATTTCTTCAGCAGAAGCTGTTACCAATAGTCTTCTTGTCCCCTGCCCCATGCTTGCATGCATGCATTCTCTCTCTCTCTCTCTCTCTCTCTCTCTCTCTCTCTCTCTCTCTCTCTCTTTCCCCCCCCCTCTCTCCTGTCTTCTCTCCTCTCTCTAAATCAAAATTCTGTGTAATTCCACAAAGGATAAGGCCTGCAGAATATCCATTTAAAACTTTTAATCACAATGGAGAGTTGGAATGTGGATACGGACAAATGACTCTGTTATAAATGAATCCTATAACCACGCTGAAGGGGATGGGTACAAAGAGAACTGACCCAAATAAATGTTTTGTGTGGATACAGGGAGGCAGAAAGCAAATAGAACCAAAGACAGCACCATGTTCTACAAGTAAAAGTGGTTCTCCTGGGGTAGTTTTCAAACTACATATGCTAGGGCCGAACAAGTATAAAAGCTTCTTATAGCTAATAAGAGCCAGGTTTCCCACCTTAGGAGAAAACAAACTTACAAATAATGGGTTCAAATGAGTCCCGTGGAGAAAGACTGGAGTCAGGGCCATGGTGTGGACTGGGTTTTTAATATTAGAAACAGAAAGGTGTGTGCATAGGCATGGGCCACCATTCAGGGGTCTAGAGGCTAGGACACTCAGCATCAATGAGCACACACAGTGTCCTTATCTTCATCCTAAACTTTCTCCAGTAAAAGGAACCAGGGCTGGGCTGGAGAGGCTCAGTGGTTAAGAGCACTGGCTGCTCGTGCAGAGGACCCACATTCAATTCCTTGCGCCCACAGGGCAGCTAACAACTGTTTGTAACTCTGGTTACAGGGGAATCCAATGCCCTCTTCTGACATCTGTGGGCATTGCACAACAGGTGCACTTACACACATGCAGGCAAGACATTTAAAAAAAAAAATTTTTTTTTTTTAAAAGGAATCAGGGCTTTGGATCAGTAGTTGGGACCCAGGACTGGGGCAGGAAACACAAACCTAAGAACCTAAAGCATCTTAACGGTGCCAGAAAGTAATAGATTAGATTACAAAAGAACGGGCAGGGGGTGGGGAAAGGAGAGATGGAGGCACCCCAAAGGACAAAGGCACCAACCTGAGAGAGCACTCCTCATGGGCCAGAGTCTCCAGGGAATGAAGCTGTGCCCACCACCATCCCCAAAGAAACAAACATGTTGACATTGAAGGGACTCATGGGACCTTGGAAGAGAATCTTTGCAAGTGTTACCAAGTTAAGATCAGGTTACACTGGATTGCAGCAGGTCCCAAGTCCTATAGCAGATGGCCTTATAAGGAGGGGAAAGGACACACAGAGGGCCATCTGATGACTGATACAGATCTTGAGGTGACACAGCCCCAAACCAAAGAATGCTAAGAACTTGCTGGCCACCACCAGAAGTTAGGAAGGAGCATGGACCACCTCCCTTGGAACATCAGATGTTCCTGGAGAAAACATGATTCAGGCCCTCCCCTCCTAAATTGTGAAAGAACAGTCTTCTGTTGTTTCAGCCACCCAGACCCTAGGGAAGCCAACATGGATGATAAGATTACTGGGTAAAGTTTAAGCACAGATAGGTTACTGACTGAATCTCAAGTAGCTCCTCTCGTATTTATTCATTATAGAGGTTTAAAATAGGAACTTTGCCATAGTGGAACCTGGTGGGCAGCACTTCAACAAATGGCTGACTGGAAATCTTGAGGTGTCTCCTCCATGTTCCCTGGAATGAAACACTGGAAAGAACTTGTCATCCAGATGGCACTCTTCCCTGATGTTAAACCTCAGTCTGAACAGGAGACAACAGCTGTACAACTTAAAAGGACAGGCTATAAAAGAACAGAGCGGCGCACTATAAAGTGTCAAGGTCATGAAACTTAGGACCAGAGGACAGTCACAGATCTTAGGAGATGGGGAGGGCAGGAATGCAATACAATGGGGGATCCTAGGACACAAAGGGGACATCAGCACAACTGTTGAGGCCCATTAAGTTCTGGCTTATTAACAATCTTGGACCGATGGTAATTTTTAGTCCTGATCATTTGTCCTATGGTGATGCAGTGTTAACATAAAGAGAGCAGAGTGGAGAGTACACACAAACTCTGCAGTGCATCTGTGACATCTCCATGCTCAGCATTATCCCCAAATTTAAAAGGAAAAGCACTACTGGGGGGTTGGGGGTGTTATGAGGGATCCAATGAGAACCATCAGCCCAATGACCACTCAGCAATCCACACTGTCAGAAACTAAGCCCTGTAAGATGAAGCTGAATTAACGACAGGACCACCGTTGGTTCAAACAAACAACACACTGGTTTAACAATTTTATTTTTAACTCCGCTTTGGTAGTACAAAAGTCAAAAAAGTAAAACCACACGGTTAAAAATACATTTGACACTCAAAACAGTGGAAACGTTCCTTTACAAATTTTTACATCAAGGTGGCAGCCAACTCATTAACCACAGCAAGACACTATCCATCATTAGTGTTTCGTACAGTGAGTTCATCATGGATCCCCGTCCTTCTAAAGGAGGAAGAAGGCGGGACTTGTAAACATCAGTTGCTTTGGGAACGCTTGGGAATTCTCATCAGACAGTATAAACCAGTACAAAGCTTATGTGTTGAAAACATTGAATGCTTGATTTTTGGCATATCTGAAAGCCAGTCACACAAAATGCTCAAGTATTAGAAAAAGTTTAAATTGCACTCTTGGTATAAATACAATTTTAAATATTTCGGAGTATCCTTTTGCCATTGTATTGCTACAGAAAGTGCTCTGGCTTGAATAAAATCAGAAAAGTAAAACTGAAGAGTATCTTACACTTTGTCCCTCACCATTTAAATGTCATTGTACTTTTTTTAAGCAAACTGTTTTTGTTTTGTTTTTTAAGTAAAAATATTGGCATACCTGCACAATTATTTACACTAGTACACATTCCTGAAATTGCCATACTGGTACTCTCTGAACCACAGTGAAATTAACTTCCATACCCACTTCTGTGCTTTGTAGACAATGTGTACATATAGCCATCAGTATGGATTCAATGAAATTGAATATGCCAGTCATATAAAATGTTAGAAAAACTTAAGTTTGTTGCCAGAAACAGAATCAAGTGAGTATATTTACAGTAAATACCCTGGAGTATATCTTTATGGAAATCATTTTTTGTGATGCCAAATGATAAAAATGCACTTTTTCTCTTTGAAATAGAAGTGTTCATGGCATCACAGTAACTGGTAGAGAGCCGGGTACAGAGCGTGCCCTCACCTCAATCCCGGACCTACCAAAATACTAGCTTTGTTTCTGTGCCCCTTCCGATGTTTCATAAAATACAAAGTTGAAAGGGAGACAGAGAAATTAGGGTTTCCAGACCTGCAGGGAAAGACGCCACTGAGACTCTTATATGTGGTAGGCAAGCGCTCTGCCACTGAACTACTCCCCAGCCCTCTTTCTGTGTTTTAACTTGAAACAGGCTAAGGTGCCCTGAAATGAGCTGGCCCTGAACTCTTTCTGTAGCCCAGGTAGGCCTTCATCTTGTGATGTTCCTGCCTCATCCATAAAGACCCTTTCACTCAGCATTAGTTACAAACAGAATGCAGCAGTAAAGCAGGTGCAGGGCTCATCTTGCATTTTCCCCTTTATTCAAAGAGACTAAATAAAGAATGGTTTCGGTTTTTAAAATTCACAATATTTTCTACGTGGCCAAGGCATGGCAGGAGCAGCATGGTGGTGGCAGAAGTCAAGGCTGAATCTTGGTCTAGAAATCTGAAGTTTGGCTCCATCTCACTTCACAACCTCGTGGGGGATCAGCTTCTCAGCACTAGACAGAATGATTTCTGAGGACCTTTTGCATAGAAGAGTCATCATCTATAATAGCCCAACTGTGCACAGAAGATCTTAAAACCAATATGAAAATGGAACATATGATTTGGGGTACCAGGCACACATGCGAGTGCACATGCACTTCCATACACAAATATGTGCACATTCTTGCATAAGCTCAGATTGTAAGTGAACAGCTCCACTGCTGATGACAGAGATTCCAAGGGAAAAGCTGCATATGTATGCCAATGCCAGGAATGGGCAACTGGGAACCATGGTGACTGAGAATGGTCAACAAAGTCAAAATTGAGTCCTTTCCCTCCTGGAAACTGAATAAAACTTTTTTTCATCCGATTTTTAAACCCAAAACTTCTTTCAAAGCATACTGAATTCTGTGTTCAGCAGAGCAAAAATATTCCATTGTAGGTTTTATCCACATGCCTATTCACTTCATCATAGAAACTGTATAAAATATATAAAAATATTCCCTAGGCAATTTCATATCTTGCAAGTTTGCAGTCTCTTAGAACTCTTCACGGAGTCACTGCTGCAAGAGAAGAAAAAAAAGGGAGTGAAGTTTTAAGGTGAGGGAGATACCACATCACATACGGATCTGCCTGAACGCTTAGAAACAGGTATCTGTAACCCGCCTCATCTCACCCTACCCAATTCCACCCCATCATCCCCCATTACACTTCCTTCCAGAATTTAGTCTAAGGAAACTGAAGCACTATGACTCGAAACATCCTGTTACCAAGAAACACCAGAGTCTGAGAACCACAGGAGACACGGCAGCTGTCTATTTTCACACGCGCTTCCACAATGGCAGCTGTGTGCTCTGCCTGTGACCCCTGAGTCACCTCTCCAGGGGAATTTTCTTAACTTCTGTCCCACGTGCTGTCACGTCATGAGCTGCAAAGTGACCCTCAGTTTCAAGGAACTTTGTTAGGTGTCACATAAGGTATCATAAGATGTCTAAGCCATCCGAACTAGAATTAACTCCAGGGCTCTTCTGAGCAGCCAAGGCAGTTTGGTTGGGATTTCACTGGACAAGTGAAAACAAAAGATAAAATGTTCAATCTTAGTTCGGTTTTTTTAGGTTTAGTTACTCCTTATTACGAAGTTTTGTTCCAGTGCTGGGTATGGAAGCCAGGGCCTTGTAGCCCACAGCAGACAGGTGAGCACTTGCCTCACCGCTGAACTGAGCCCCAGGCCCTAGACAGCCCACTGAAGGTTCTCTATTGTGTTTTAGTCTTTTTAACAACTGGCCTTTATAATGTTTACACTTACACCACAAGTGAAGCTCCCATTCTTATAAACACCTTTTTACTTTCCAAATATCTCATCTAATGAAAAGCTTCATATACCTTCCAGAAAACTGAGATAGCCAGGACAGGACTGAAATTCTAAAGATGTCACTGTGAACTAAAACATGCATACCGTGCAGGCAGACCCATACAAGGCTAAGGAGTAAAACAGCCTCTGATCTGGTACAGGCTGCCTGTAAACCAGAACAAAGCACAGAAGAGGCCAGCCTGCAGAGGTCTGAAGGAATAACAAAAGTGAACTGGCATGTCTTAGTTTTAAGCATAATGTTTACAAGCCAGGTCTAGAAGCAAAGGCCATAGCCTCAGCTAGTCAGGAGGCTGAGGCAGGAGGGTCTCTTGATCAAGGTCAGTCTAGGCTACACAAAGCCTTCAAGGCCAGCCTGGGCAACTTAGTGAGACTTTGTATCAAAATAAAAAGCAAAAAGAGGACTGGAGATAAAACTCTGGGGTACAGCACTTGCCTAGCCTGTGCAAGGCCCTGGGTACAATCTCTAGTAATTTGTGCGTGTGTACATACACACATATGCACATGCACACACAAACCTTATCTGATTATCATTCAAGATATGTCCTCTAAGATTATCCATATTATATTTCTCTGTCATTCATGACAATCACAGAGACTTATAATGGATATAAAAGAGGACAAATAAGACAGACTGACTTATCCATCCCAAAGGGGATGGATTGGATAGTGTGTCATTATCCATTATCCCCTTAGTGAACATGGAAATGAAATACTAACCCTAAAACGGCACAGTGGAGTTTTTATTTACAAAGAAGTAACGCCTCCATAGGGCTGACCTGTAGGTCTGGACCATGAGGGAGACGAAAGTTAAGTCTGAGGCTGCCTTCAGGAAGGAGTCAGTAAATATGGAACATTCTATCCCAGAAAAGGCTGCAAGGGTCAGCAGCAAATATTAACATGCTCCCGAAAGGAAAAAAGCTAAAAATATGTGAGAATTTTTGGACATTATCTAGAAACTATGTATTCAACTATTTTTATGCCCCCTTCTTGTGTGCTCTGTTGGAGCTAGACATTTTTGTATCAAAGAAAATGATGTGGAGGGCAAGGAAAGCCAAGCCTGGAATGCAGCATTTCATCAAGGCAAGTTTCACTCCAGCTGGGTGTAGTGGCTCATGCCTGTAATCCCGGTGCTTGGGAAGTTGGGAAGCTGAGGCAGGAGGACTGCTACAAATTCCAGGTTAGCCTTTCCCAAAAGAATAAAAATGAAAAATAAATCATTTCAACCTAGACACTATAAATTTGACAGAAGGCCTTAAGGAGAAGGCATACAAGACCATGTGCTGGACCAACAGGAAGTCTGGAGCCTGAGGCCTGTATTCAAACCCTGATCCCTGTCACTAGCTGTTAATGGCTGGCAGTCTCTTGGCAACCTCTCACAGGGCTGCTGGGGGGGTTGACCTACACTGATACTCGATGCTAATACAGAGTGGAATAGGTTAGCATCAGGATCTCTGCCATCCTGTTCTCTGCTCTAAACAATCACATTTGCATTCTTCAACAGCTGCCTCTGAATTGCTGCTTAGAGACTAAGGAGAAAGAAGAAACTTCTATAAAAACCCTTGCAGCTCTGGGTTTTGCACACACACACATTTATTAAAAGGCAGGTATGATTTCCAGGCAAGTACCTGTCTTTCCAGAATGACTAGAGAGAAGGCACTACACACTCACAGATGTGTTCAACCTGTGGCCCAGAGGCCACATGCAGCCCTATTTGGCCAAGGACAGCTATGAATGCAGTCCAATACAAAACCAGAAACTTACTGAAAACACTAAGAGACTGGTGTGTGTGTGCGTGTGTGTGTGTGTATGTTTAACACAACTGTGTGAACTGTGTGGTTCCCCTATGAACTCTGTAGATAAAACCATTATGCAATGCCAAGCCCACCATGGTTTGTAAATGAACAGCTATGGGGTCTTTCTATAGGTGTACTAAAAAGTACAGCCTGCACTGCTGTATATTTTCATGCTGCTAAATTCTCTCCTTACTTCATTCTAAAGTGACCTGATCCTTATGGATAATAAATCCATGTTCTAATTCAGTTATACTTCTGCACTACTCTAACCAATGACAACATTGCCTTCCACACTGTCCAACAGCAATCAGAGCCTCGTGTGGCTGGCATACACAGCACAGGAGCCCAACAGGAGTGGACAGACGGAACAGGGAGGAAACATTGTTGGCCCAGCCCCCACCCCTCAATGGCCACCTCCAGCAAACACCACTGTACTTCAGAAACTGGCCTCTTTCTTCTCTCTCTTTGAGGAAAATATGATTCCAGTTTTAGACAAATGAATGTTCAAACTAGAAGAAATGCAAAACTACATTATACTGAAAACAATTCCGAAATCTCTAATATCCTAGTTAGCTTCCAATTGCTGTGATAAAAACGCTGATCAAAACCAACTTTGGGAGGAAAGGATTTATGTGGCTTACACATCCTAATCACAATTCACTGAGAGAAGCCAAGGTAGGAACTAAATGCAGGAACCTGGAGGCAGGAACTTAAGCAAAGACCACAGAGGAAAGCTGCTTACCCCTGGCCTGTGCACAGCCAGGTTTTTTAAACAAACCACTACCACCTGCCTGGGCATGGCACCACCCACAGTGGGCTGGGCCCACCTATATCACTCAGCAATCAAGAAAATGCCTCACAAATACTTCCCCAGGACAATCCATAAAGCCAATTACCCAGGTGCAATTTCTTCTTCCCAGGTGTGTCAAGCCGACAACTGAAGCTGTCCAGCACACCTAGTATAACCACTTCCCTCATAAAACAAGACTGATGGGAAAAATTAAGGGCTTCATTCATTAAAAATTTATCTGGAGTAAAGGAAGAGGTCTCTAATTGTAAAGATGGCAGTGTAATACCATTATTTAATAAGTCATAGTTAATTGGACTAACCCCCTACAAACAGATAATTGAAGTTCTCTCCAAGGGCTGGTCATTAAAAGGAGGCTGAAATGAACAGTTCCCAACATTGTCTTGCATTCCTGCATATCTACAATTAGAATCATTTGGTCAATGAGTCCATCTTTAAATTTCTGCTATTTCCAGATTACCTATGCACTTACCCTGTAGTTTCCAACCCTCTCTCTACGTTTCACTCTTCTGGCTAATTCCTGCCTATTCACCCCAAAGCGGGCTCTGGATAAACTCTCCCTCCCTCCTCTTCCTCTGTTAAGATCGGGGCACACTTCCCACACATTGCTCTAGGTGTCAGATAAGCATGGCTTTACCCTTGAGAACTGAAAGACAAACCAGGTGACCTTTCCTAAGCAGTTTTTTTTTTTACAAATTTATAGTCTATGGCCCTTAATGCTTAAATAAGTACTTAAATAAAAAGGTGGGCAACTTCAGAGGAAGACCTAAGTAGTCTCCAAGATATTCCAACAACCAAGCTCAAGGGACAAGCACTGTCAGAGGTCAGTTGAAGGTCAGAAAAATTGACTTGTGATTGGCCAAGGATGCTGAGGTGAGCAGACTTCCATCCCTAAGCAGCTGCAGCACAGGGCAGTCAATTATGATTTAATTTGCCAGTCCTGGAAGCATCACTGCAAAAAGGGCTTAAGTCATCAAAGCCTTTCCATTCCTCTGTTCCTTGTTTTGGTTCCCTGCCTCCTGTGAGAAGGTCCTGGAGATTTCTAAGGCCTCCTTACCACACACAAGGAAACGGCTTGAATTCTTCAGGGACTTGCCAAACTGTCTACTTCTGAGATGTCCTGACAGTCCAGAGCTGTTATGTTCTTAAATAGTAAAAGGGGATTCACAACACCCAAGGAGGATGCTTGCGAAATAACCTAATAAATAACTAACATAAATAATCACCAAGAATAGCATATGTTTTTGATAGAAGCAAACAGTAAACAGTACCCATGCCAAGGACTGATTTAAGAGCTATAATATATCTTGCCATTTAAGTTCAACAACAACCTCATTTTATGGGGAGGAAACTGAGGCTTAAGAAGGCTAAGCACAGGTGGGGTATAGTGGTGCAGGCCTTTAATCCCAGCACTTGAGAGGCAGAGGCAGGTGGATCTCTGGTCTACATAGTGAGTTCCAGGCTAGCTGGAGCTACAGGGAGACCCAGTCTCAAAAATACCAAAAAAAAAAAAAAAGAAAGAATAAAAGTTAAACAGCTTCATGAGCATGGTGGTAGATACCTGTAATTTCAGTACTTGTGAGGCTGAGGCAGGAGGGTCATCAAGTGCAAAGCCCATTTGTGTTATACAGTAAGTACCAGGCCAGCCAAGGCTGCATAGTAAGACCCTGTGGCAAAATATCAAAAAGTAGAAAAACATTTTAAAAAATGAAGGTTAAACAAGTTGCCTACAATTGTCAGTAGTTAAATGCACAGTTAAAAATAAATCTATAGAGATTTACATCCAGCTTTCAATCACCAAAATAAATAAGTCAAAAATACAGTGTTTTTAATAATAAAAACATTTAACATAAAAATAAATCTCTACAGGGGTGGGAAAGATAAGACAGGGTAGAGGAAGAGTACTCGGAATATATTATATATGTCTGCAATTGTCAAAGAACAAATTTAATAAAAAATTAAAAGAGAAATATCTAATAACTTGTTTTTATTTTAAAAGGTAACTATAAAACCACTAGAAGAAAACTTTGGGGAACCCTCCCTGACCTGGTCTGGGCATGGACTTTATGACCCCGAGCAGCACAGACACCGAAGGCAAGGACAGACACACGAGATTCCAAAAAGCTAAAGCTTCTCTCAGCAAAGGACACAGGAGTGAAGACACAACTTACAGGATGAGGGAAAATATTTGCAAACTATGTATCTAGCAGGTGGGTTTTTTAGAAAAAACTCTAAATTTAAAAAAAAAAGTTAAAATTCAAAATGAGATGAAAATTAAAAACTAGTTAAAAACAAAAATGTGTGGAATGTTTTGCCAACTAACCAAATCAGTGTTCTCAGTAAGAAACAATCAGAAAGTGGAAAGGGAGCACAAACTCCACAGACACACATGGACAATGCTCACTGCAGCATCGTCTCTATAAAAAGCCGAAGCCCAGTGACAATGCAGCCAGGGCCGTGGCATCTGGAGACTGAGAGCAATTCCATTTATTTAACTTTGAAGAACAAAAGCTTATTCTTCTAAGAAGAAACCAAAACACATTTTCTATGGAAAAAAAGAAACCATTTTGACTGTATTGCCAAAATAAATGGGGCAGAGTGTAAGTTAGAATGAACAACAGAAAAGAACTCAAGTCAAAGGAGCGGGATGGCTAGAATACTGGGCAGAGAGGACAAACAACAGATGTCCTCAAAGTGTGAAGAAGAGAGAAATCCTACCCCATCTTGATGTGTTTTATGTGCAACAGACACTGTGGTCCCTCAGCATCCATGGGGGGTTAGTTCATGGACCTCCAAGGACATCAAATCTGAGGATGCTCAAATCCTCTATTTAAAATGGTTCAGCATTTGCATATAACCTACACACATCCTCTTGCAAATTTTAAATAGTATCTAGATTACTTGTAATACCAAATGCAAGTAAATGCTATGTAAATAGTTATTATACTGCATTGTTTTGGGAATAATGGCATGGAAAGACAGGTGGACAAATTCAGTACAGACATAGTACTCCTAAAAATATCTTCAGTTCATTGCCAGTTAAGTCCAGCGATGAAGAAGCTGTGGATATGAGGAACTAACTGTACTGAAGTGTAGTTTCTATTAAAAACTGGATGGGGAGGGGGAGGGGGTGTCAGTCTAAACAGTTTGATTAAAAGTCTATTTTGAAGAGGTTACCCAAATTGTTGATAGACGATATGATAAGAATTGGAGTTGGAATGGGAGCTTGCTCCGTCCACCCCACGCAAAAAAAAAAAGGCGGTAGGAATTGGCTAGGCAGTTAGGGTTAAAAGACTCCGAAGAAAAGTGGTCAGTTTCTTGGCTAAAAGTCAAAATGTCCTTGGGCCTGTTAGCAACATACTCCGTTCCAAAGGCCAAAAATGTCAAAAGTATTTGGGAGCTGTTATGGGAGCTGTTATCTAATCCTTAAAAGATTTTAGGGTTACCTCTTCAGAGGGCCAGGGCTACCTAGTGAGATTCTATCTCAAAGAAAGAAGGGAGGGAGGGAGGGAAGAAGGAAGGAGAAAGAGGGAGAAGGGAGGGAGGGAAGGAACGAAAAGAAAGAAAAAGAGAGAAAGAAAGAAAGAAAGAAAGAAAAAGAAAAGAGAGAGAGAAAGAAAGAAAGAGTATACACGAAGTTGTCAGAAAAGTGATGGGGAGATATGGGAGGTGTTGGAGGGAAGGAAGTGGGAGTGGATTTGATGAAAACACCTTATATGCATGTATGAAATTCTCAATAAAGTTTTTTTTAAGTTAAAAAAAAGTCCATTTTGAACAAAACATCTTTGAGGGGAAAAAAATATAACTTCAAAGACTACATTCAATTATATAAAAGACAGGTAAGCTTTTACTACAATATTAGCTAATTCTTCTTTTGTTGTTGTTGTTGTTTTAGACAACAGCTGTGTAGCTCCAGCTGACCTGGGACAATGTAGAACTCCCAGAGATCTACCTGCCTCTGCCTCCCAAGTGCCAAGGTCAAAGGTATACACCACTACACCTCGCTATTAGTTATCATTTTGTAGTGAATCTTCTAATTCAGTCCAGAACCAGAGATTGTGGCCCAAATGGAAAATGTTTCCTTGGCTGAGAATCAAGTCACATTAAATGTCCCACACATAGAGACTAACAAGAAAAATTTTAATGAGTGCATAATTTTTAAACATCAATGAGGGGTTGAAGAGAGGGTTTAGCAGTTGAGAATACTGGCTACTCCTGTTGAGGACCCAGGTTCTGCTCCCAGCACCAACATGGCAGCTAACAACCATCTGTGACTCCAGTTTCAGGGGATTCAATGTCCTCTTCTGGCCTCCATGGGCATTTGCATGTATGGGTACACTTATATACATGCACTCACAACACTCATACACATAAAATAAAAATGACCTCAGAAAATACACTCCTTTCCTCAGGCCATTTGAGTACATCCTGCTGTTTTGGACAACTCAATGAAGTATGACTACCATCTCCTGAGAGCCATCTCCTGAGAGCCATCTCCATCCCAAACACCCTCTTGGCACCTGCCTTGAATCAGTGCATTTAACATCTTTATTTCATATTCAAGGAAAGAGGAGGTATGGGCAGTTAAGAATTATTTCCAAGTGGGCACACATTTGAACATGTGCCTTCTAACCATATCCAATTATATAATCCTGCTAGATGTCAGTGTCCTTTGCAGAGAGCATCCAAATTGTAAACCAGTTACATGTGAGACCTGAACCTGCCAGCCAGACCCCAGGGCTCAGGCTCAGCTTTGCCAGTTCCCTGTAGTGCCAAGGACTCACCTGACCTCTTCTGCCCCATCCTCCTTCCTTTATACACATCAACCCTTCCAGCCTGCAGCTCAGGTGGAGGCAGTGAAGCTGCCAGAACATGACCACTCCCTGCCTTTTACGTTTACATATAATACGCACAAAAAAGACAAACACTCCTCAGGCCAGAAAGGAAAGACCAAGACGAAAGCTGAGCCAAAAGCAAGTCACTGCAAGGTCATGTCTGAATGGTTAGCTTCCAAAGTTAAAACTGGCACACGAAGCAGCAGTCACTTTGTTTTCTAACTGCTTCAGCGTATTGGGTAGAAAGAATACTATTGCCCTTGAGGCTATCTCAGAGCGATTACTACTGAGGGCATTTCAGAATCACATTCCAACTGTGTATTCTATTTGATACAATACATCAGGGAGAATAGGTTCCCAATTCAAAAGAAAAAGCACTGGTTTGGTTGCTTCAGTCTTTTTCAAGCAGTTTACTTAAAAAACATTAAGAACACATGCCATTGACCTGAATGCTCTTTTGTTTTGTATTGTTTTGTTTTGTAGCCCAGGATAGCCTTCATCCCCCAAGCACTAGAATTACAGTCCTGAACCACCATGCCCAATCTGGCTTTTCTTTCTTATTTTATGTGTGTGAGTGTTTGCATATATGTACATGAACCACATTCGTGCCTGGTGCCCGTGGAGACCAAAAGAGGGTGTCAGAGCCAACTGTAAGCCATCATGTAGATGCTAGGAATTGAACCCAGATCCTCTGCAAGAACAATCACTGAACTATCTCTTCAGTCTCTTTTTTTCAAAACAGGAAATTTAATAAGCTGCTGTAGTGGTTTGAATGAGAGTGCTCCCCATAGACTCCAAGTATTTGGACATTTTGTCTCCAGTTGGTGGCACTGTTTTGGGAGATTTTTAGGTGGTAAGGCCATGCCAGAGAAAGCATGTTGCTGGGGGTGGGTTGTGAGAGTTCTTAAACCTTGCCAGATTTCCAGTCCTCCTCTGCTTCCTATACCTGCTTGAAGATGTGAGCCTCCTCTTTCTGTTCCAGCCACCTCTGCTGCCATGCCTCCCACCATTATGGACATTAGACTAATCCCTCTGGAACCTGGAACTGTAAGCTCAAATAAACTCTTCTTCCTATAAGTTCCCTTGGTCATGGTGTCTTATCACAGCAATGGAAAAGTAACTAATATGGCTGACAACATTTAAAAACTTATTATTTCACATTCTAAAAATCTGGATTTTACCCTCTTTTGAGTACAAAGATATAGTAATAACATTGTGCTAATGCAAGCTCTCTCAGTTTGGGGAGCGGTTCTGATTGGCCACAGTCCCCACCAGTCTGCACCACCTTGAACGTCTGCCTTGCATATAACATTTTGCACTTGCTATCACACAGGCCTCCAAGCTTGAGGCCTCCTTACAAAAGTTCTGGGCAGAATCATGAGGGCCTCAATGCTCCACCACTGTACCAGTTTCAGGAAAGTTCTCCCATTTCCCTGCCAAATGTCAGTCCTGGGTTGACACAGACCCCAAAAAGGCTCATGGACACCACTTCCCCATCGGGCGTCACCCCAGCCCCAACGCCCCCAAACCCAGCTCACTTGCTACTCCGTGCCGCTGCGTTCTCTCTTCACGGGTGTCACGGGCACATCGCCATTGACGCTCTCAGTCCCACTAACAGACATCAAACTTCTCCGCTCCTTCTGGTTTGATTTGTGTTCCACTTTTGTAACTCTGAACCTGAGGTGGGAAAAGAATTGATGGGTTTTGTTTTCCTGGTAAACAAGAATTATAAAACCATCCATCCAAAAACCATCCATCTGGAAAACACCAAGTAAATTCAGCCAGTAGTAAAAGCAGCAATAAAAAACCCATGTGATAGGAAAAACACTGCCACCCAGCAAGGCCCCTCCCATCCCCTGTCCAACCATACAGCTGATGTTCACTTAACTAGCCCTATTAGTTTATAGAGAATGAAATGTGCATTAACAAACACATGCTGAAATCTGAGTGGTTTCAGAGTTGCGGTTTCCAACAATGACATGGCCATTAACCACAGAAGGTTGGGCAGCAGACAAGTGGTTTACAGAGCAGACAGACAGATAACCAAGATAGTCACTAGATAATCACCTCAGGAAAATATACCCATCAGACAACCCTTCCTCCTCTTCCTCCTCCTCCTCCTCCTCCTCCTCCTCCTCCTCCTCTCTCAGTCAGAGAAGCCACAATAATGCATTTTACTAAGTTGTTTCTGCTTTTCAAAACCAAATTTACATCAATTTTAATTTTCCACTAGCAATTAAAGAAAAAAAAAATGAAGTTAAAGAAGAGAATTTCATTAAGAAGTACAAGAAAGGTTAAGGAAAGCTACTCAATCTGCTTGTCTGCAACATCATCAAATCTTTAGTCTTTCAATAAAACATTTTTTTTCTAGTTTGGTCCTAATTTGACTTAAAATAATCTAAAATAAAAATTTTCTTATTTGTCCAAAATGCCATCACCAACCATGAAGAGGAAGAGGACTCTGGAAAGTGAAGAAAGGGAACGATGTAAACACCCATCTGTCCTGTCCAACTGCAAGACTCTTAAGCAACACATGCTGAAAACCAGCCCATAATAATTAAATGTCCATTGCATCCAACAGTCAAGAGGGAGTTGGATTTCGAGCCCTGAAATATGCATGTTAGAGCTGAGCTGAGAATTTTCAGTACATTTTTTTTTAAAGAAAACAGAACATGCTTTGTGTAAACGACTTCAGGTTTTCACTCATTTGTATTCATAAATTCCCATGACTCTGCCTCTTAATAAAGCCCTGGTCATGAGTTGTACTGCTCTGCTGTAAGTGGCAAATAGCCCTCAGCTTTGTCTTTGTGGCCTCTGGGACACATAACTAAACAAATAATAAAAAAGAATAATAATAATTCTTGAGTGCAAAAGTACCCAAAACTGAGCTAAAAACCTTTGTATGGGTCGTTTGGTCTTCATGGTGGCCCTAATAGGGGGTGTGTTCCCCAGGGATCCTGGTTCCTCCAAGGGGCGGGGTCTGCTGCAGAGAATTGACTGTGGAAAGTTAGCCACGGAAGGAGGGGCTTGTGGCACCATCTTGGGTGGCAGCCTCGAGATGCCAAGAACCCGAGGCGGAAGAAGCAGAGAACGTGCAGTGCCAAGCGCAAAGAAAATGATGGCCCCAGCGTCTCACCCTGTCATGAGAGGGGGCATTTACCGACGTGGGGTGAGACTGCGGGCCCAAGATGCATGGGCAAAAGGTAACAGAGACTGTGGGTGGGCATGGAAGCGATCTGGAACAGCCCGCCTCGCAGAGCGGGGTGCCAGGTGTTAGTCTCTTGAAGTTTCTCCATATCCCCCTCCCAAGACATAAGCTATAATAAATTCACATAGAAGTGTGTTATATGGTTTGTCTGACAGCACAGGAGACCCCGAGAAAACTCGGGCAATGGGGGTGGACTTCTCACTTTGTGTAGAGGGAAACTGAGGTAGACAGTGACATAACAGTTTGTAAGCAGTCGTACCTCAAACAAGGTAGATGCAAGGAGTCCAGGTAACTCATCCCATAGGTTTGTCAGCAGAGAAAGGAGGATTATGTGTCCTGATTTAACCTTTCCCTTGGCCCTTTCTACCCAGCCTGATTCCAGCATGGGTGACCTTCCCCAAGGTGACACAGTCTCAAGCAATGCACTTCCTCAGAAACTGCAAAAGCCTCCCGTCAGCCTGCTCATGTCAAGTCCTGACATGTCAAACAGTAAGCCCTTCATATCACAGGTGAAGTCACAAGGAAATGGTGCATGGAACTGAGACACCCTGAGGTGAACGCAAAGCAAGCAGTCACTGTGACTGGCTTGGATCTTAAGTAGCAGAGACTGGAAAGTTCTGGACCAGATCATTCTCTGTTCTGGACTGTCTTTCTCCGTCCTTGATGCATGGCTGCATGACATTTTCCAGTTGCCTGGCAGTTCAGTGAAGCCAAGTAACCATACAGGCCAGTTTCATTAAGAACCCCTTGTGAGCATCCTCCACAACTCTCTCCTGCTCACAAACCTGCAGCGCTGTGAGTGGAAGAGGCCTGGGGCTCTGAAAGAGCCACACACAGACCTGATCACCTGATTTTGATTCTCACAAGAGAAACAGAAACATCTATTATGGATATAGTTGAGAGTCTGGGCTCCGACTGTTTCAGAGAGTAATTAATTATTTATCTTAATTAATACATGTTCCATCTGACCTACTAATAGCTATCTCGTAGGATTTTTCTACTGCTAGAAATGTCCAGGATTCAGACCAGGAACCATCTAAGATGCCCAAGGATGAGACCTGAGACAGGCTTATTCGAACCTACTCCCAATTGAAAGGTACAAATCCATAACCATAGCAACCAGCCCCCCAACAAACCAGAAGCATCAGAAGAGACCTTACCTGCCCACAGAGAGGACAGTGACCTCCCCTTGACGCCGTGGCCGGCCGTCTTTGGACTTGTTAGTGGGTTTTATGAAGTGCCATCGTTTGTGTCTACACCGCTGACACACATCCTGCTCAACGACACCACCCACTGTGTGTAGATGGTGGCCGCAGACATGCTTCCCTGGGGTGCCTCCTGGTGACAAGGGTCCAGGACTCACAGGTGGGCTCCCAGGAGTGCTGGGGGTCACAGGACTACAGTGGGGAGGAAAAAGAAAAAGGTAAAACTGGTTACTAAAGAGAAATCCCAGTGAAGGCAATTGCTTCCACAAAGAAGGCTTAAACAACCAATTGTACAAATGAACTTTGTGAACTGACCCTGGAAAGCCAGAAAGCCGCCACACTCAGCTCTTAGGATCATGCAATGGCAGTTCATTTGGAGCAATAATAATATGTCTTATCAGTTCTAAAATGAAATTGATGGGTTGAGTATAAGCCACTACTCAAACATGATACACTACTTGGATTTCACAGGATTAGGTTTCTTTCCAAAACCCTCATCTCCCCTCTCACACAGCCACACCAACTGCTCACACAGCTAAGAGTCTGTTGGAACTCCAAACAAAGAGATGCCCTGAATGTATGTGCCATGGAGAAAAAAAAAATTCCAGTTGAACTGTCAGAAGGCTTAAGATGTCAGAATACTGAAACCAATCTGACTGCTGCATCAAAGGAAGAAAGAAAGCTTTTAGTTCAAGACATCAAAATGATGCTCAAAATAGATGATGCTGCTGCTAACAATAATATAAGAATGGCTAGCGGTCTCCTGAGACCTTCACATGTGTCCATTAATCCTCCTTAAGTTTTATGGTGCAGGTACTAATTTCTTCATCATATAAATGAGAACACAGTGCCTCACAGAAGTCATGTAACTTTCCCAGGACAAACAGCACATGCCTGCTTTTGAAATTCAAACTTAGAAAGTCGAATTCCAGAGCCCACACTTGTGCCCACCAGTGGGACCACTTGGTAACCTAGAAGAAACCTGGCCAGATTGGTTTAAAAATAACAAAGGAGAACCACAGAGGCAATGCTGGCTACTTTCAGAAGGCACAGACCAATCCTCTGTGAGAAAAGCGGAACAGGACAGGGCCAGACCGACTAGGAATCTGCCCCTCTGGCACACCTTACCACAGTACCTGACACTTGAAACCAATACCCACGATGCAGCAAAAGCCCCGAAGCCACAGGAAAGGCTGGGGACAGGAGAAAGCAGCCTCTGCACTGCTGACAGCCAGCTGACCAGCATGCTTCTAAAGCCCAGGCCACGCTCCACTGAGAAGAATCAGAACAGAATAGACAGCCGAAAGTTTCCATGTGGTCTTTAGCCATGCCTTTTAAATTGTTCAAATACAAACACACAAGCAGACCCCCCTGAGAGAAACAATGTTAACCTGACACCATGTATTAGAAAGTTGAGTTCATGTTTAACTGCATTCATTCAATAAGCACCAAGTACAAGTACCAGTAGGTATAAAGCCCAAGGACAGGCGCTACAGATGCCCCAAATGACTAAGTCAAGGACAGTAGGAGGTAAGGTGGTCTTAACAGCAGATATCTGTGGTCAAAGGTGGGAAACATCGGCCAGTACGTCCTGAACTGCATCTCCAGAGCTTCCTGAGCTTGCTGCCTGGCATTCTGCACAACTCCTCTGACATGTGCCTCTAACAGAGCCAGTCTAAAGAACACATTAATACTGAAGATGTGTCAGGTACATGGCCCACATAAAAAGCATTAAAGGACCCAAACTCATCAGTCACTCCATCCCAACACAACGTCCTGGCACTTCCTGCATATTTTCTGGCCACCCAGACTGAATCATTCCCAGACGGACTTTCTTGTCTACACAGTACCTGCCTCAAACACTTGGCTCCAATGGGACTTCCTCGCTGGCCTTCCCTGGCCCTCAGATCCCCCAGACTTCCAATCTATACCTCCAACAACATGTTCCAGCTTCCCATAAGGCCTCACATACCCATCTCCCTGCCCCACCAGCTGAGTCTCTTAGGGACAAAGGTCTGACTTCCTTGCTGTACTGACACAGTACCCTATACAAAGTAGCCCTCAATCAATGCTCCTGGCTAGAGAAATGGAAAATTATATAAAAATAAAGTTTTCTACAATTAATTATGATGGAATTTGGTGCTATGCAACTGTAACCTACAATCAGTCATAAAAAAAAATAAACAGATTGTAGCAGGTATTCTCAACCAACTTGGCTATCATTTAGTCATCCCTATTCATAAAGGTCTTTTGGGCTCCAAGTGGTTTGTATTCCTGATAACAACCAATGAAGTGGGCACCATAGTCTTATCCATTTTATATACAATGGAGCTGGAGCTCAGCAGGCGCAGATAGCTTACCCAGGGACAGGCGGTCAGTACACAGCAGAGGCAGGACTTGGCCACTGTCAGACTCTAAAGCTATACTTCTGCTCTCAGCCCCTCACCTCCCTTCCCCCAGCACTGTTCTTTAAACAACAGTTCTCAGCCAGGTGATGGTCTCCCAAGGGAAACTGACAATGTGTAGGAACATCCAGGGTTGTCACACCTTGTAGGAGAGGGGCAGGACTCGGCCTTCAGTGAGACGAGGTGAGGGATGGTACTGGGTAGTCCACCTTGGACCAGCCACAACACAGAACCATCTGGACTCAAATGTCAATAATGCCCCAGGGAGGAGGCCAGCTCTAGCCGAGTCACATGCCAAATGTCGTCAATATGAACAAACGAAGGAAAAGTGTCTCCTATGGGAAGACAGGCACTCACCTTTCAACATCGCCCAGGCTGTTGTCAGCTACCATGGCTTTTAAAACGTCTGCATTCGCTAAGAAAGAAAAAGAATGAAAACGGCAAATGAGTAATCACAGAATCACCAGATTAGAAAAGCCATCAGTGAAACACTTCATCAGTTGCTTCCACTCACAGAGGCCCAGGGCCCTAGGAGAAAGCCAACTGCCTTTGCTCTGCTTTACCACCGAAAAAAAGAGCCTAAGTTGAGACAGATAACTTTGAATTTATGTGATACAAGCTGACTTAACTTAGACTAACGGTGTTAACTTCCTTAAAAATCCAAGTGTGCGAGCTATCAACCAAAGCAGATTGAACCTGAGCTTCTCCGGTCCCCCATGTCCACACTGTGAGCTGCATCTTCCATAGAGTACTCCCACTCTCCAGTGGGAAAGGCTGCAGAGAACGTCAGCTTCCTCTTGGTGATTTAACTGCCAAGGCCAAATGCCGTTACCCACTGAGTCCTAACTTTCTCCACTGGTTTTAAAAGCACTGTTCTCATGACTAACCACAATAAATTCACCAGAGAGAAAAGGTATTAAATTTACCTCATGAGTCAGTGGCAGGCAGCATTTAACATTTAACATGCAAAAAACATGCCCAGAGGATGACCATTAACTCTAGTTCAAACTCCCTTGCTGGAAGTGTGCCTTGCAGATTAAACAAAAAACAAAAAAACCCACTATTTTTATTGTTGTTCTTCCACAATCCAATTTTCACCCTCTTGGGAAGCATGGTACCCCATTACAACCTTTGAGAATGCATAGTGGAGAGCCAGGCATGGTGGCACACACCTTTAACCCAGCACTCAGGAGGGGGCTTAGCAATGAAGAGCACTGGCTGCTTTTGCAAACCTGGGTTCAGTTCCCAGCACCCATATAGCAGCTGACAACATTAGTAACTCCAGTACCAGGGGATCTGACGCCCTCTTCTGGTCTCCACTGGCATTTCACACATGTGGTGCATTTACATACATTCAGGCAAAACACTCACACACACATTTAAAAAAAAAAAGAATTAAAAAAAAAAAGAATACATGGGGGTTTGAGGTTGTGTTTTTAAGAAATATTTAGACAGGCCAGGTGTGGTGGCATACACCTTTAACCCCAACATTTGGGAGGCAGAGGGAGGAGGATCTCTGTGAGTTTGAAGCCAGTCTGGTCTACATAGCAAGTTCCAGGCCAGCTGGGGCTACAGGGAGACCCTGTCTCAAAAAGAGCACCCCCCAAAAAAGAGAGAGAAAAGGACTAGCTTTGGGTATTGCACTATAATAAGAAGATGGACTAAAAAGATACATAGCCCCATATACAATTTATGCAAAATAGACAATAGCTGGCCAGCTTATACTTACTCTGCCATCATTGAGTAAACTTGAGAAAAGAGGAAAAATAACAAAGGGTATGATACCAAGGATAGCAATAACAAAATGTATAGTGATAAATAAGCTTTCTCAAAACAGTGGTTTAAAGTTGCCTGAGAAAACCAATTACCTACAAATGATTACTCCCTGTCAAATGAAATATCAAATTACAAAGTGACTCTGTGACCATAAAAGATATGAAAACCATTATCCACGTTTCTTCTTAATAGTCCTGTTTTCATGAATTCCTGTGACTTGTCCTTCTAAGGAATAACTAGGCAAAACCCCTTTGTTTGTTCTGAGCAAAATTTCTAAGAGTTTACTCCAGTTTCTACACAAAAATTAGTCACAATCACTTTTTCTGAGGAGGGAGGGCATATGGGGCATATATATATATATATATATATGAGAGAGAGAGAGAGAGAGAGAGAGAGATGTATATGCATCAGGTATGTTCTCCTACCCCTGGGTGAACTTTCAAGGTTATACAAGGAAGTGAACTTCAGTAAGGTACCTCATGGGAACACTTCTGTTCTTCTGTGACAAGAAAACTTTCTACCATAACACAACCATCAGGACTTCAACACATGAAAAAAGAGTCTAAGTTCTACTGAATAAACAGTGACCACAGTGTCATCCATGACGTGCTTTATCCAGGACCACTCAAAGATACCAAAATCTACAGATGCTTATGTCCCCAGTATAAATGATACAATATTTACATATAACCCACACACACCCTCCCATGTACCTTAAATCACCTCTAGATTACTTATAATACCAAATATAATGTAAATGCCATGTAAATAGTTGTTATATTGTACTGCTTCGGGATTAGTGACAAGAAAAAAATGTACATTTACGGTACAAAGGCAAATATTTTTAGAACACTTAATCTGCAGGTGGTTGAATTCACAGATGTGAGACCCTTAGGTACTGTGCGTCAACTGTCTTCTCTGTACAGTACTCATTACTCCTACATCCAATAAGCTACAACAGATGGGTGCCTCACACTTGCTAACATTCTTCCAACTACAGTTTCTTTCATGGTCTTCTCAAGGATGGGAGGGATCAGTTACAAGGCAAGGAAACCCCGTCAAGAATAGAGGTAGTTTCCAGAAAATGCTTTGTCTCTTTTCTCCCTGAATTCCTGCTTGGTAATATACACAAAGCACTCAAATTCAGCAAAGGAAAATGTCCTGTTGAACATGATACCATTCTCTTCAGTTTTCCTTATACCCAAGTCAAATGCCCCAAGCAAGACTATCACCATCACCAAAATTTACATGAGGGGCATGTGCCAATCCATTGCCTAAACACTTTACAGGCCTCACCATGTTAGATCCTTCTACCAGCACTAGCAGCAGGTGCAACTATCCCCATCTTGCAGACATGGAGACTGAGACCTAAAGACAGTAACCGACTTGCCAGGGTCATCCAGCTAGAGAGCTAGATTTGGTCACAAGTTCAGGTCCATGACTCCAGAGAGGATGCTTTAAACCTAGACACAATCCTTCCTCTCCAATGTCAACTCTCCATCCAAGGAGCTAGAGTTCAGAGCATGTTGGCATACTTATCACAATGCACTCAGTATTCACAGTACTCTGTAAAGGCATCCTTTCTAGAGTAATACAAATTGAGTCTCAAGGTAAGAACTTCACGAGGGGTTCCCTGACCTCGTGGAATAATCAAGGATCCTGAGGGATAACTGAAGTACTCTTTGTTTTTACTGCAGCATTCAGTTTAAGAGCTTGCAAAAGAAACTCAGCTACAGCCTTAATGCTTGTCAAACTTCTATACAATTCAAGAAAACCCCACTGACTACGCCAAACACTTCAATTTTGCTCTACAGAGAAAGATAAATTTAAAGACAGCACTCAGGTTACTCCGACCCTTGGCATTAGAAAGAAAATAATCAGTGTGCAGGTATGTCTCTTAAAACTCTGAGAATTTCCTGAGTGAAATTTCCTAAGTGAAACAGGAATGTCTTTTGTCATTCATAATAAGCCATTTGATCATACCCGAGTCTACACTGATAAGGCAGGTCAGGGTGGGGCCAGTCAGGAGAAAGGCCTGTGAATAGAGGCCAGCAACTTTCAGCCCCAGCCACTGGCCAGGAAGTGGGCATAGGTGGTCAGAGGCTGGGCATTACACTATAAGAAAATTTAAAAAAAAAAAAACCTTAAAAAGAAAGATTCATGCTGAATCCATGAAGGTGTCTGGAGGGTGTAAGCCAAGAGAGGGCCTAGGCCCTTCAACCCCACACCCGAGACCCCAATACCCTGCCTCCATGCATCTCTTCCATCTGGAAGCAAACCACTAAATGTAATAGTGTATCCCTGAGTTCCATGAGTCATTCTAACAAATTAACAAACCTGAGGAGGGGGTTATGGGAATTCTCCAATTTATAACTGTAGGTTTGAAGAACAGAATTTGCCATTGGCATGTGAAGCAGAAGAATGTGGTAGAACCAAGCCCTTAACCTGTGGGATCAGACACTGACTCCCAGGCAGAGTTAGAATTGGATTAAATGGTACATTGAGCTTGTGTTCAAAGATGGAGAACCACTTGGTTTGGAAAACTCCACACATCCTGTGTTGTAAGTGTAGTGTGAGGAACACAAATTGTGTTGCCCAGTGGGTCAGCTGCTACGTCCAACCTCCAAGGGACAGTGACCTAAACTAAAATTAAATTCTAAAGGTAAAGGCACATGCTTAAACCTTACACAAGAATGACATCCTGGGGCTCTCCTGGGGAGCCTGCACTTCCTCCCAAGTGTGTGCCATCACCCTCTCCTTCAGCCTCAACCCTCCCCTGCTTAAATCAATAGCAAAATTTAATAAACCCCCAACTTTGCTTCATAAAAAAAGAATACCATCCTAATGATATTAAATTACCCATTTGTCAAATTAAAAATACAATGCAGGAAATTACTTATATACCATGTTTGTAAATGCTTAGAAATATGTGGATAAAGGAAAAAAGACACCTAAATAAACATGGGAAAATGGCAGTGGAGACTGATTCATTTTATTCCTTTTTAATTTCTAAAGAGAAGTTTTAGTTTGGTTATAATTTTTAGATACAGAAAATGAAATTACTAACAATTACTCAGGTGGAAAAAATCAGCATTTAAACAGAAATGAAGTTTGACATTATGTTAGTGATGGAGACAAAGCTGGGATAAAAATCTGTCCATTCCATACACTCTCAGAGTCAACCTGAGAAGATTCTTGTTATAAACTCCGAGACACTAAAGTATACATCCTGTTATCCAGCTATGGTCTGGGTGCAGGGGGATGTTAGAGCCACAGCTGGAACAGAACACACAAGGAAATCGGGGGTCTCTCAGAGGCCAGAGGATAACCAGGGGCTGCAGGCATAGAGCCCGCCTGTCCCCGGGACACTGAACAAACCACAGGTGCACAATGACAATGACAGTATGCACCAGTGGAGAGGGAAATGAGGTAAAGAGGAAGACAGAAGTCAGAAGAGAAAGAATTGAGAATGAAATAAGTGCTGCAGTATCTCTCTGTGGAAAGGAAAAGAAAAACACAATTAAAAAAAAAAAAAAAACTGCAGCCCTATTCGCCTGAGTATGGACGGTGAGAAAATTATACAGTGTGCTTGTTCCAGGAGCCCCAAACACTTCTCTGCTGTCATCATTGGAAGGGGCCCACAATCTGCCACCCACTGCTTGGTGGGCATGGGCAAGTTTTCTTACCCATTGGGCCTGTTTCCTAATCTGCAAAATGGGGTTACAAAGGATACTTATGTAACACTTGTCAAAATTTAATGAGCTAGCGTTTCAGGAGTTCTGAAAAACTACCCCAGCTGTTCACTATACTTCCTTGAAAGAAGTAACTTTATCATCCCTCTGTCATTCCACCAAGAACCAGCAAGTGCTTAAGTAGAGGGCAATCATCCCGTGACCCATGGGCTTGACTTGGTTGGTTTCAGTTACTCAATAGTCAACTGGGTTCTGAAAATATCAACGTGGAAAATTTCAGAAATAAATAATTCATAAATTTGGTTTTATTGATTATATTTTTTTTGCAGGGCTAATGACTGAACCTGGGGTCTTTGGCATACTAAGTAAAGTTCTACCATTGAGCTACTTTCCAGGCCCCACTCAAAAATTTTAAACAACTTTTATGATGGTGTAACACTACAAATCTGTTTTACTTATTGTTATGCTAATCTCGGTGTCTAGCTCACAAGCTGAATTTCATCATTGGTAGATTTGTTAGGAAGAAACGTGGAAGGAGGGTTTTGTGGTGCCCATGGTCTCAGAACTCTCCCCACCCACACCCACCCTGGAAGATCTCCCTGATAAGGAGAACCCACACACACATAAAGGAATACTGTTGTTCAGTCTTGAATTCAAATTCCAGCTCTGGTACTTGTCCCAGTACAAAGTTGACAAGTTGGTTAAGTACTGTGGGCCTCTGTTTCTCAGCTGTTAAATGGAAATGATATATTCAAATCATGGAGTTGTTACTCTCCAGGAAGCCTCAGAGCAGGCCTGGCATACAACAACCATTCATGGGTACCATGAAGTCTATGTTTGTGAGAATTTCAGCCCGTCAACATTTTCAAACTGAACTTGTTTTAATGAATCCCACCATCAGTCATCTGCCTCATGTATCACTGACTTAGCAGCTGCCAAGCCCACAGAAGCCCAAGCCATGAGGCCCACAAGCTGTCCACAGCCCTGGAAGGCAGGATTCAATCAGAAAGCCATGAAGCAGGGAGGGGCCTCCACACCTCAGTGTACCTCAGTCCTGGTTCAAGAACACATTGATGTATTCCCTGTGCAAATTAAAAGGCACATTTTTATGTAGAAAAGAAACAGTGGGTGGTGTGAGATAGTGTTCAAGTACATTATTGACAAATCCTACCCCCTGAGGGGAAGTCTCTGGAAGGCAGACAAAATTTCAAGTAAGTATTCAGGTTTTTTCTGTTCTTATTCTAAAAACCATTCCAATAATTTTTGTTATCTAATATGTTGTTGGAGACAGGGTCTCTCACTGAACCTGGAAACTGACTAGCTAGACTGACTGACTGACTGGTTAAGGAGCTGCAGGACCCTCCTGTCTCCATCTCCCCACTGCTAGGATTATAGGCACGTGCCACCACTCCCGAGTTTGATGTGGGTGCTGGCGATCAAACTCATATCCTCGTGATTGCAAAACAAGCACTTTATCCACTGTATCATCTCCCCAGTCCCCTAAAAGAGTAAATTACATGTTATATGGATTTTATAATAACTTTTAAGCACAATGAGTAGAAACAGATGAGAGTCCTTATACTGAGCATTCCACGTGTGCTAGTCTAAGTGCTGCAAGGTAAGTATTTGTACAACTCTCATTTTACAGAAGGAAACTGAAGCTTTCTGAAATAATGTGACTGTCCCCAAATTATACACAGCAGAAAGCAGGGCCTGGACATAAGCTGTCAGCTGTGGGCTGGCCCTGAGCAACAACAAGGCCACCAAAAAACTCACAGAGGTAAGTAAAACTCTCCTGACTAGACACTGCTAAAAGCTGAGGTATTAGGTAGGGAGCTCAGGTGAGTGGTGAAAAGTCCATATAATCTGACTCTTCTAAGGAACTTGTGGGGTTTTTTAAAAATTTTTATATTATGTGTATGAGTGTTCTGCCCACATGTATGTAAGTGCACCATGTACACGCAATGCCCACAGAGATCAGAAGGTGTCAGATCCTGTGGAACAGTTGTTAGCTGCCATGCAAATGCTGAGAACCAAACTTAAGTCCTCTGCAAAAGTAGGCAGCACTCTCAACCACTGAGCCATCTCTCCAGCCCCAGAGGAAGTTTTTTAACAAAACTGAATTGTTCTGAAGTACAATACCATACCTTCATTCTTCATGATGTAGTGGACAATTTGCCCAACAGTATCACTATTTTCATTTATACTGTCATTCAGTTCTAAAAGAGAAAAGGGATAGGAAGATGCTAGCATCAGTCACCAGCAACAAATCAATGAGACATTCCATCTTAGAGCCCAAGACCTCACAGAACAGCTTCCAGAAAGTTCAGAACCCCTTGCACAAGGCTAAGACTCTTTCTCCTTCAGTCCCGGACTTCCCAATGTCACATGTTATGACTTCGTTGGCATGAGAAGTATAAAACAAAAGGCTCATGACTGTCCATCAATCTCTTCTCAAGACTAAATACCCACTCACTCTCTAAGGCAATAGACATGGACTTCTGTAAGTCTGCTGCTCCTAATCCTACTCATTAAACACTTAGGGGAAATGAAAAGAAAGCTAATTAAAAGAAAACATGCTTTCCTTGGATTTAATTGCAGACTTACTGTATAAATAGGACTACTGTTTATGTTTTCAACTGGGTATTCATCCATGTTTATAAAACACTCTTATCCATTCTGCAATTTGGGAGTCTTTTAGATAGACCCACTGAAGGGGTACCCCAACTGCCTCACCCCACATCCCTGTTCAGCATAGAAGAAGCCAGAGTGGTCTGTGTCCCAATTCCCTATCCAAACCTGGGTAACCTCTTCAGAGGATGGTGTGATAAGAATAGGTGGTAGGAATTGGGTAGGCAGTTAGGGTAAAAAGACACCAAAGGAAAGTAGCCAGTTTCTTGGCTAAAAGTCAAAATGTCCTTGGGCCTCTTAGCAACATATTCTGTTCCAAAGGCCAAAAATGTCAAAAGCATTTGGGAGCTCTTATCTAATCCTTAAAAAAAAAGGAAGAAGAAGAGGAGGAAGAGAGGAGGAGGAGGAGGAAGAGAGGAGGAGGAGGAAGGGGAGGGGGAGGGGGAGGAGGAGGAGAGTACATGAAGTTATCAGAAAAAAAGTGATGGGGAGATATGGGAGGAGTTGGAGGGGAGGGAGTGGGCATGGATTTGATCAAAACACTTTATATGCTTATATACCCTATGAAATTCTCAATAAATTATTTTTTAAAATGAATAAATAAAAATAAAACACTCTGATCCTTTCAAGAAAGTTACCTAGATTTGGGCAGTAGTTATTTGTTCACAAACCCTGTTTGTCTGGGGGGACCCTATACTAGCAGTATATGTAACAGTCCAGAAAAAAATCAAATCAAATCAAACCACTTGGAAACCAATCTGTATCATTTCTTTCAATAGGACAAGAAGGGAAGAGAGGATACACTCCATCCTCAATCAGAGGATAAATACAGGGGTACGATGACCCACTCAAGCACCTGGAAGAGTACTGCCTACACCCCAAGGGTGGCTTCTCTCCCATGGCTCATGCATGTGTAAGACAGTAAGTAGGAAGCCGATGGCTGAGCCATCCTACAGCCAATAGTGGGGGGAGGGGTTCTGTTGACAAACACTCAGGGTTGGTTTGCTCATTTGCTGCTGATGATTCATCCTGTTCAGCCGTGTTCCTCAGCCTCAAAGGTCAGTGGGGATGGAAAAACCAACAATCCAGTAAGCTGGTGAGGAATGAGAAATCTTCCCCCACCCGCCCTGCAGGTGTGCTCGATGGCTGACCTACTCCAGATGGTAACTCTTGGCAAAGATGCCGAAGAGGGGCTGGACAAGTTGTAGAAAGCAAGCCGCTAGCCCTTAAGGCCTGGGGAAAACCTCCCTAAAGTATGGCTGGAAAGGAAGGTCAGTGGGAAATACAGGATGCTGCTCTCTGCTTATCCCAACACTAAAATCAAATCCTGTACAAAAGACAAGATGAACCACCCTGAAGTTCACAGAGATGCCCGTTCCTGCCTCGTCTCCACTGCACTGTGCACACAATCATTCACTTAATAAACAAAGTTCGGTGACGTGAACTTCAGACAGACACCTCCCCACCCCACTCCCAGGAAAAGTAACACCACAAACCTGATGAGCCTTGTTTAATTTTCCTACCATTTTAACTGATATCTCAATAAGTAACAGCAAGGAATAAGGTTTACAAGTTGCTGTAAGTACCAATCACCAAAGCATCTTGTCTTGAAATTTCACAGTAACCCCACACAAAGTGAAGATGAGCCTCATTTAAATGAAATTAAAATGTCAATTTTACATACAGCAGAGATTTGGAGTAGACATAACTGGTCCAAAGTCATGGGACCATGATGTAAATGAAAGCAAAGCTCCAAACTCTGGTTACTGCAAAAGATATGCTTTTTGCCTCATAAAGAAAGTGATTAAATGTGAAGGGTTTCTTATTTAAACTCTGTTCCCTTACTCCTACCTCCCCACCCCCAACCTATAAAAACAAAACCCCAGTTGTTTACCTATCTTTTCAACCTTTTCCTCTTCCTCCTGCTCAGCCTCCGTGGTACACCGATAGCCTTTCTTCTTAAGCAGGTGGCAGATGAGGACACCAAGGAGGCCCATGATGAAGAACACTGGGACAATGGCATACGCGATGTACTCTGGGTGGCCATTCCCTGGGTTGTTGGTGGGTGATGATGGGGTCGTCCCTGCTTGGGAGTGCAACGTGCGGCTGCCAGCATTGTCTACAGAGAGGGACATGCATGGCTGTGTTAGATGTCTGTCGTTATCCTCTGGAAACATTCACATTGAATCAGTATCTTCTCCAAAAACTGCGGGCCACACTGGGGGTCCCGCCACAGAGAGCCCCAGAATTAGGCGAAAACAGTCCACAGCCACCTCCTGTCCCAGCCACTCAGATACCAGGTCACACTGGGTCTCTTTAAAACCTTTTTAAAGCCAGGCGTGGTGGCACACACCCTTAGTTCTAACACTTGAGAGGCAGAGACAGGCAGAGCTCTGTGAGTTCAAAACCATCCTGGTCTATATAGTGAGTTCCAGGCCAGCCAGGGCTACATAGTGAGACCCTGTTTGAAAAAAAAAAAACCTTTTTAGGCCAATGTGTAGTATTCATAATACTACATGAATTTTAAGGGCTCCACAGGATGCAGAAAGATAGGATTTTAGTAAAGCATCCCACAAGAACATGCACGCAAACGTTAAGTGGTATTACAGCCAAGTATCTAGCAGTTAAGTGTGAGGACTCAGGAGACCTGGACTAAATGGCCAGTTCCCCCTTTAGCAGCCCTGTAAAAAGGAACAATTATTTAACAACTAAATGCCTCTGCCTCGGATGAAAGGAGCATTCTGACAGAACCTCTGCATCTCTCTAGGAAGGTGAAATCAATTACTGTGGGAGAAATGCACAGAACCAGTTCTGTAGCAGCAACTGCTCTCCCAGAGAGCACAAAGATCCTGTCTTCCCAGAGCTTATGCTCTAGAGAAATTCAGTGAACTAAGATATCTAGGCTAAGAAGAGGAGGAAAAGCACAGCCATGGCCTCAGGTTTCCAGCCCAAGGTGCATAAAAAGAATGGAAGCCTGTGCATTTGTTCATCCACTGATCCAAGTAAACATGAGCTCCATGTCTGTGGTGTCCCGAGCCTCTCCACTGGGAGCTGGAAAGAGTGCTGAGAACATAAAGCAGCCCCCACCCTCTGGGAGCTGGAAAGAGTGCTGAGAACATAAAGCAGCCCCCACCCTCTGGGAGCTGGAAAGAATGCTGAGAACATAAAGCAGCCCCCACCCTCTGGGAGCTGGA